TTTAATCTCATAATCACTATGAGATTTTGAAAAAATTGCCGCTGCTAATTCTTCAGGATGTCCTTTAATTTTTTCAATCGCTTCACTATCAATACCTTTAAGAATAACCCTCCCCTTTAACGAACCATAATTAACATCATCACCATCTTCAGCATAATATAATAAAAAAGCTTTAAGAATCTTTCCATTTCCTTTTTCACACTCAACACTAGCAACACTTTGTTTCTTTAAATGACTTTTTTTCGATGTTACTTTCATAATTTTAAATAATGATTTATTATCTTCATTACTATATTCTTCTTCCCAAATACCAATTATTTCATTATGTTTAATTTTTTCAGATATAAAAAAATTTGACATGATTTGATAATTATAATCGATTTTGCTACTTCTAAGATAAGAAATAATTTCTTTTCTTACATTGTCATCTCCAGGAACTTCTATAACCATTTTTTCAGTAGAACCAGATTCTTCGTCAGACATCTATTAACAATTATAAGATTAAAAATAAAATAAAAAAAGAAAAAATAATAGTTTTTTAATAAACATACTTTGTAATTTTTTAATTTTTAAAAAAAAACTTTGTTGAAATTATTCTTTAAACACTATGATTTTATATTGAAAATTGAAAACTACATTCGTATAGTATATGAAAAAAATTATCGAAATGAATAAAACCAAAATAAGATCTAAAAACGTCTTTGCTACAGGAATTCTATATAAGTATATAGGAATAAACACAAGAGGAAAAACAAAGTTTTTAAAAATATATTTTACGTAAAACCAATTTTTGGAGTGAAATTTTTTAAAAACATCTTGTGTTTGAATAATATGCAAAACCCAGCCAGGTGTTTTTTTTTTGATTTTTTTGACAATTTTTTTTACCATTTTAATATTTAATACATAATCAACAACTTTATCTAAAAGAATAATATACCACCACATAATTGTTTCCATTAAGTTTTTATAAAGACAATATTTAAAAAACTGTGCTTCCTGATAATGTTCATATGCGAGTAATTTATGAAAGGTTATCTCATGTTCTTTTAATTCAAACATCTTATCATGATAATCAAAAATTTCTTGTGTTATATTTCTAATAACAATCAAACCATCGTTTATATTTTTTTCTTGTTTTATTAAAACGATTTCTGCATCTAATTGTTCCAAAATTTCGCTTGCAGCAGAAGAATTTGTCATCGAGTTTGTATCAGACATTTTTTTTGTAATATATTTATTTATAAATAGAGTTATTTATATTTTATTTTAATGATAAAAATAATTATAAACTTTAATAATATATTGATAAGCTATTTGAATATCGTATAATCGATATTCCAAATAAATTGTAAATAAAAAAAATAAAAATAGAAAATAGAAAAAAAGAACAAAGAACTTTTATAAAGTTAATATTTGATAACATTAAAAGTATAATAATATAATTTAACTTACTTTAATAATATAAACAAAAATAAATATCGTAGTCTAAAAATAATTC